CAAATCTAATCTAATAATTTACATATTACGTACGTATTTTGTATGTAGATTAGCTTGTACGTTTTTTCAAAATTTTACAATCTTTTTCATTATTTCTTTTTTTTTCTTCTTTTTGATAGAAATATTACAATTTTGTAGCAAAATATTTAGAAAATTTACTTCTAAATGTTTACAAATCTAATCAATAATTTACATATTACGTACGTATTTTGTATGTAGATTAGCTTGTACGTTTTTTCAAAATTTTACAATCTTTTTCATTATTTCTTTTTTTTATCTTCTTTTTGATAGAAATATTACAATTTTGTAGCCAAAATATTTAGAAAATTTACTTCTAAATGTTTACAAATCTAATCAAATAATTAACATAAAGTGGATTTCACATTGAAAAAAAACGTATAATTAAAATATTCGTTTATTCTAATTCAAATTCCTATCCAGACTTTCTTCTCCATAGTTTTCTATATATTCGAAGAAGTAGCATCAAGATTCGTTAGAGATCAAATCGAATTAGTCGCAAGGATTTGAGTGAGTTTAAATGGGAATTTTTCTTCGTTATTTCTCACTTCTTCCCAACTTCACCTCCAAATTTCTAATCATAATTCGATGATTTATGGCAGTTTTCTCCGCCGTCGCTGCCTTAATTGAAATTAATTTCGTTGCGTCTGCATCCTGTATATTTAATGGGCTTTCGGTTTGTTTGAATCAATCCCTCAAAACACACACACAATTTAATTAGTCTGTATCATCAAACTTCATCAAAGAACTTTAATATTTATTACTTTAGATGGAAGTTGAATATTTTCGAAAAAAAAATTAAAAATCTTATATTTTTTCAGTGAAACAGTCTTATTATTTTTGCAAATACAAAAACGACTACAATTACAGACGAATATTAGAATATTCATGGCATTCGTTAGAGTTTATGAATTATGATGTTAATGTTGATTTCTATACTTATCATAAGGATTTTGAAGAATTCTTTCATTGAAATGAAGAAATATTAAGGTAGATTTTTGTATTGTTTTTAGAGGAGAATGGGTTCGAGAGTCGGTCCAACCGGAGGACTTCCGGCTGACAAAGCTTTGGCCGGAGTTCCCAGACTTCTGGACGATCTGCAGAGACTCTCCGAGGATTCGGATTCAGCGGATATTGTCTTCATTCTGGGCAGAGAGGAGGAACGGGTTTTCGCCCACAGGATAATCCTGATGGCCAGGTACATATAGACGTAATAAGAGTGCGCTGGAAAACAAAAGGAGATTTCCTTTGTCGCGACCCGCAAGGAAAATGGAACGTCGAACGTTCGTGCACGCGCATTTTCTACTCGACTTTTATCAAGTGCGCGTAAATAAAAGCTGCTTTCAAATTACCTTCCTTGTCTTTGCCTTCACATTATTTCATTCTTTCCTTCACTCTCTGCGTACGTACGAGTGTGTGTATGTACGTGCAAGTGTGTTCGTTCCTTTTGCGATCGCCGTTGAAGGGATGTACGTGAAAAGGCGCATTATTGTAATCAGGAAAGAGGGAAAGAAATATGTTGAACTCGTGAGAGGGAGGAGGAAGAAAGAGAGTGAGGACCATAACCAGAAGTAACATTAACAGGCTCGCACGCACCTTTCATTAAAAAAGAAAGAAAGAAAGACATCAAAGATCCTTTGTTCTTATCCTACTTGCGAGTTTATTGCTCCTGGAGTCTTTCTCTCGCATAACGACGCCAATCATAAGACTCCTCCACGTCTCCACCTCAACAGCTCTTTCGGTCGCGTTGTCTAATTGGATATCTTCAGGAAACTATACTCTCCGTACACACTTTGATCTTAGATTCTTTTATCCCGCGCGCACTCGAAACAAACACACGACGACGACGAAATAAAAGTACAAGAAAAAAAAAACTAAAAGGGGGGTTGAAATGTTGTAATTGTTAATGCTTTGATTAAAACCGCTGTAGTTGTTATTGAAATCTTCTCTTCCAGATGCAAGAGCTTCCAGACGGTGAAGAGGGGTGAGATCTGTCGCATTCCCGGATGCACGGTGAGCCCCGCCGCCCCCGGCACTCCGACCCCCGTTCGTCTCCCGCAAGCGCCGCCAGACACCTTCAAACAATTCCTCATGTATGTGTACACCGGGAAAGTAAGCCGATTCCTTTCGATCACCGAAAATCCATCGATACATACATTTCTCCTTTTTAGATCTTGCTGCAGGACAACGGCGTCTTCGAGATGCTTGCCTTGGCTCAAGAGTTGGGCGTAGAGGAACTGAGGAACGCCTGCGAGGATCACGTCACCTCCACCCTATCAGTTGCCTCCGCTTGCACTTTTCTAGCTGCCGCCATGGATATCCAGGACCGATCAAGGGGTGAGTCACAATTACAACAGTTTTCATAATATTTGATAACATAATATTTATGGAATATCTCAAAAACTAAAAGCACTACACTAATTATTGAATAATCCAATTAAAGCTGAAACTACAGTGAATAAAACGATTATAAAAGGATATTTGTGACAGTTCTAGCTCTCAAGTAATTCGATATCAAATTTGCACTTTGAACATGCGAAAAAAAGTGTCTCTAGTTAATTGAATATTTCTGGAAAACTAATCATGGCATACTCAAGTTTCAATATTTTAATTAAAGCTAAGATGATAGTGGATCAAATTAGTATACTAGCATATCTATGACTTTTATTGAAATAGAATTTTAAATGTGCATCGTTAATGTTAGTTTTATTTCAATATTTCGAAAACTAATAACAGTACAATAACTTCAAAATACTATAATTAAAGCTAAAACTACAGTGAATTCAACGAATATAAAAAGATATTTGTGACAGTTATACGTCTCAAGTAATTCGATATCAAATTTGTACTTTGAACATGCGAAAAAAAGTGTCTCTAGTTAATTGTATATATTTTCAAAACTAATCATAGCATACTTAAACTTCAATATTTTAATTAAAGCTAAGATGATAGCGGATAAAATTAGTATACTAGCATATCTATGACTTTTATTGAAATAGAATTTTAAATGTGCATCGTTAATGTTAGTTTTATTTCAATATTTCGAAAACTAATAACAGTACAATAACTTCAAAACACTCCAATTAAAGCTAAAACTACAGTGAATACAACGAATATAAAAGGATATTTGTAACAGTTCTAGCGCTCAAGTAATTCGATATCAAATTTGCACTTTGAACATGCGAAAAAAAAGTGTCTCTAGTTAATTGTATATGTTTGCAAAACTAATCATAACATACTGAAGTTTCAATATTTTAATTAAAGCTAAGATGATAGAGCATCAAATTACTATACTAGCATATCTATGACTTTTATTGAAATAGAATATGCATCGTTAATGCAGTGTTTTCAGTTTTATTTCAATATTTCGAAAACTAATAACAATACAATAACTTCAAAATACTCCAATTAAAGCTAAAACTACAGTGAATACAACGAATATAAAAGGATATTTGTGACAATTCTAGCTCTCAAGTAATTCGATATCAAATTTGCACTTTGAACATGCGAAAAAAAGTGTCTCTAGTTAATTGTATATTTCTGGAAAACTAATCATAGTATACTCAAGTTTCAATATTTTAATTAAAGCTCAAATGATAGCGCATTAAATTAGTATACTAGCATATCTATGAGTTTTATTGAAATATAATATGCATCGTTAATGCAATGTCTTCAGTTTTATTTCAATATTTCGAAAACTAATAACAGTACAATAACTTCAAAATACTCCAATTAAAGCTAAAACTACAGTGAATATAACGAATATAAAAGGATATTTGTGACAGCTCTAGCTCTCATGTAATTCGATATCAAATTTGTACTTTGAACATGCGAAATGTAGTGTCTCTAATTAATTGTATATTTCTGGAAAACTAATCATAGCATACTCAAGTTTCAATATTTTAATTAAAGCTAAGATGATAGCGCATCAAATTAGTATACTAGCATATCTATAACTTTTATTGAAATAGAATGTGCATCGTTAATGCAGTGTCTTCAGTTTTATTTCAATATTTCAAAAATTAATAACAGTACAATAACTTCAAAATACTCCAATTAAAGCTAAAACTACAGTGAATACAACGAATATAAAAGGATATTTGTGACAGTTCTAGCTCTCAAGTAATTCGATATCAAATTTGTACTTTGAACATGCGAAAACAAGTGTCTCTAGTTAATTGTATATATTTTCAAAACTAATCATAGCATACTTAAACTTCAATATTTTAATTACAGCTAAGATGATGGCGTATAAAATTAGTATACTAGCATATCTATGACTTTTATTGAAATAGAATTTTAAATGTGCATCGTTAATGTTAGTTTTATTTCAATATTTCGAAAACTAATAACAGTACAATAACTTCAAAATACTATAATTAAAGCTAAAAGTACAGTGAATACAACGAATATAAAAGGATATTTGTAACAGTTCTAGTTCTCAAGTAATTCGATATCAAATTTGTACTTTGAACATGCAAAAAAAAGTGTCTCTAGTTAATTGTATATTTCTGGAAAACTAATCATAGTATACTCAAGTTTCAATATTTTAATTAAAGCTAAGATGATAGCGCATCAAATTAGTATACTTTAATATCTATGACTTTTATTGAAATAGAATGTGCATCGTTAATGCAGTGTCTTTAGTTTTATTTCAATATTTCGAAAACTAATAACAGTACAATAACTTCAAAATACTCCAATTAAAGCTAAAACTACAGTGAATAAAACGATTATAAAAGGATTTTTGTGACAGATCTAGCTCTCAAGTAATTCGATATCAAATTTGTACTTTGAACATGCGAAAAGAAGTGTCTCTAGTTAATTGTATATTTATGGAAAACTAATCATAGCATACTCAAGTTTCAATATTTTAATTAAAGCTAAGATGATAGCGCATCAAATTAGTATACTTTAATATCTATGACTTTTATTGAAATAGAATTTTTATGTGTATTTTTATGTGTAGTTAACTATCAAAACTTTTAAATTTCAAGCTACAGTCCACAATTTTTAATAAATATTTCGAAAATTAATAATAATTCACTAATAAAACTTTAATGAATATTATTGTAAAATTGATATTCACTTGATAAAACTGTTATTACTATTCATTATAGTTAGAAGAAAACGCTTGAATTTCGCATAGATACAAGACGTTCTTCGGAAACGGTTTGATATTAATTTATAAGTGCGATGGTGGTGTAATGGTCAGCATAGTTGCCTTCCAAGCAGTTGATCCGGGTTCGATTCCCGGCCATCGCATATATCTTTTGCTATTTATAATTAAAGAAAATTAATTAAAACAATTA